ATTATAAAAGATCAATAAAGTTGGAAAAACAGGAAATTAGGACATCAAAGGGGATGTATGAGAAAAGGTTGGCTGAAAATGTAAAAATTAACAGGATTTATTTAAATATATTAAGGGTAAACAAAATGTTAGGATTGGGGTAGGACCCTTGAGGGATGATAAAGGAAGGCTAGTATCTGATGATTATGAGATGGCTGGGTTATTAAATTATGCTTTTTCTTTGGTTTTCACTAACGAAGATTTAAGCAGTATTCTACATCTTGAACAGTTGATAAATGGAAATGAGATCAAACAAGATGACTGCATCAATTCTGAGCTGGTTAAGAAAAATTTGAAAGTTTAAAAAACGATAAGGCTCCAGGGCCAGATAATATTTCCCCAAGGGTTTTGAAGGAGGTTAAAGATTGGATATGTAAGCCATTTACTACTATTTTTTGTCAATCCTTGAATAGTGGGCAGGTACCAGAGGATTGGAAGTTAGCTAATGTAACTCCTCTTTTCAAAGGAGGTGATAAAAATTGTCCCAGTAATTATAGACCCATTAGTCTTACATCAGTTGTGTGAAAAGTTTTGGAAAGTCTGTTAAAAGATGCTTTGCAAAGTCATTTATCAAAGATTAGAATTTTATTGGATAGTCAACATGGTTTCACTAAAAGAAAATCTTGCCTTACAAGTCTTTTGACATTCTTTGAAAAGGTTACTGCTTATTTAGATGAGGGTGAGGATTTGGTGTATCTGGATTTTCAGAAAGCATTTTACAAGGTGCCACGTAAAGGGCTTGTAAGAAATGATCTCTATAGGTGTGGAGGATAAGTTAGCAAATTGGATAGAAGAGTGGCTGGATGGATGAAAGCAGAAGGTTGTTACAAATGGAGTTCATTGGGGTACTTTGCTCTTTTTTATTAACATGAATGACATAGATGAAGGAATAGTCAATAAGTTACTTAAATTTGTAGATAATATTAAGGTCTTGTGTGTTGCTAGTTGTGAAGATGATGCTGCTGGTTTATAAAAGGATTTAGATCATTTAGTGAGTTGGGCATATAAATGGTAGATGGGTTTTAATTATAATAAATGCAAGATATTGCATGTAAGTTATCATAATTTGAATTATAAGTATAATGTAGATGGGAATAACTTTAATAGTGTTAAGTAGGAAAGAGATCTTAGTGTAATAGTCGATCAGTCTCTAAAGCCATCCAAGCAGTGTGCCGTTGCTAGTGGTAGGGCAAATAGGATTTTAGGTTGTATCCATAGAAATATTGAATACAAGTCTAAAGTGGCTATAATTTCACTGTACAGGCCACTGGTTATGCCATGTTTGGAATCTTGTGTTCAGTCTTGGGCTGCTTACCTTAGAAAAGACATTGAATTGTTGGAAAGGGTTCAGAGAAGGGTTATTAGAATGATGTCTGGGATGGAAGGGTTGTCATATAAGGAGAAGCTGAAATCTCTCAAATTGTTTTCCTTTAAAAAAAATTAGAGGGGATCTGATTGAAGTGTTTAATATTGTTAAGGGAATTGATAGTGTTGATGCATCATCTTTTTTCATACTTAATGGTGAGAATCATAGGACTAGGGGACACAAATATGAATTTTGGCAAGGTAGGAGTTATGTTCAGCTAAGACAGTTTTATTTTTCTAACATGGTGGTTGGTCTTTGGAACAGGCTGCCTTCAGATGTTGTGAAGGCAGTAAGTTTAAGGAGTTTAACTCTTTTGAGACGGGTCACAGGTGAAAGGCCATGTCATCTCATTTGTTGACTTGCATTCAAAATTTTATTGAACTACTATTTCATGAATCTGTGTCAATAAGTTTGGTATCAAACTGTAGATTATAATTCAAATTTTAATACTATACATTCCTCAATTTCTTAATTTAAAAGTAAATATAAAAAAAACAGATATACATCAATTTCTGTGTGTCACATGGTATGTTGAAAGCAGCCCTGGTTCAGATTAGATGTTTGTGAAGTCAAAATACTAACTTTATGAATTAGAATGTATGAATTAGAAACTCAAATTAGCGATATTGACAAGCTATAATATAAAATGAGAAGTTTTATCATTTCTATTTGCTAAGATATTGCTCATGTAATAAATCAAACACACTGGCACCCTGCCCAACACTCTTTTTATTTTTGGAAACGCTCCTTTATATAAACGTACTTCTATATATGACATGAATAACCAATTAGAAGCTCAGAATGTCTCCTAGTGGCTTTTTTGGCCATTTTAAATTTTTAGGATGCCATTTCTTTCTTTTGAACCAAAATTTCAGGAAGGTAGGTTGTGTCTTTAGTCTGCTCGAAATTTCATATTTTTTTAGACTAAAATACATCTTAGTTATTAAGCTTGATAAATTATAGTGGAATTCTATAGTATTGATATGGTAATTTATGATTTTTTTGTGTTTTGATTAATATCCTCCACATGCAAAATTTTTAAAGGCTTAGCGACCGAGTACAAAGGTTGTAACTAGAAGAGATAATTGTTTGCATTACTTCTTTATTTACTGTTCCATGTTTTAAGAGAAATAAGTTTAAGAACTTATTTCTATATAGCTATAATATATATAATAATTGAAATGTGACTGTATTGCAAAGTACTAGTTTAATAAAACACAGCCAAAACAGGTTACTTTGTAAAGACCGAAGGTCAGTTTTATGTTATTTGATACAGTAACATGAGTGCACATGTGCTGCATGATTGTAACTTCTGTATTTTTTAGCCAGGCATGGCTGAAAAGTCAAAATAATAAAAATAATATATATATAAATGTATAATGTTATGAGATTTAAGCTATTTAGTCTAAATATTTGTTTT